TACTGACTAAAAACCACCCCGTTCCTACTACTGCACTTCGAGCCGGGGCCCCAGCAGCCCGTTAAGGCCTCCGCGGCTCCGTATCGGCATCAGCCCTATTGGGCTCTATCTGCGGTGGTCTGATGGCTATACAATATAGGGTTAAATTTACAATAACGTAAATACTAGTGCACCAATCTATTATAGGTAAGCGCGACATGCATTATTATACTAAATGATTTACAAATGACTATGATCAGATATATGCGAAAATACAACTATCGAACTACATTCAAAATTACATGTAAAATTAGTACTTTTGATTTGATAATCGAAACATTCTACACAACATTTGCTATAGTTTTGTTATATCCGAGGTAGCCCTCAGATACCAGGAACATCGTACAATTGTCATTCTCCGAGATTGCGCAACACGAATTGATCGATTTATAAAAATCGTTCGCCGACTTCTCAAGTCGCCTTTGTCGCCTAACATCGCGACGTTAGGACGCTAATTTTAAGTACTTAGTTTTAATATATCATCGTAACCTTCAATAAACTACTTGCCTATTAATTGGTTGCGTTATTTGGATCTCCTCCGCTGCCCACATCGTAATTAACTTCAAATTGATTGTCAATCCACTTAGTATGTTTAATGTATTAGTTCAACGTTCAACGTTTATAATCATATAAGAGTGTGACATTATCACCAACCGTCCATAAATATCATGAGTTATGAACTTACTTATTGTCCACACCTACTAAAATAAAGACAATAAGCCACATTATAGATTTTTTTAATTTTCCATTCAAACTATGGACATAAACCGTGCCCATTCAACGATTTGGTGAAATTTTCGGGAATATTACATATAATATTTTTATTTATAAACGATACTCAGTCGTCCCATCAGAATGGAGACATTGAAACTAGTAATCCAAAAACATTCTACAAATTTTGTTTTGACGAAAACAGTTGACAAATATGTTCAGTCAATGCTTTTGCCTCTAAACATACTGCTGTATATCATGTGCTGTCCAAAATATCGCATCAAAAATAATTTTATTTGCCCTAACAGTGTCTTCATGAAGTTTATTTCTTTTATCGCTAGCACAATCTGTATGTTTTCGTATACATTCACTTTCTACACATATCACAACTACCATTTTGTAATTACAGTCTCTAATTTAAAAACATTTGTAGCTTTTTTGCACAACATCTGTTGTTGGATTGGTTTCGCTATGAATTTTATGTTCGTCGCTTTACAAGACAATGAATCTATTGAATTCGTCTTAATGTTCCAAAAAGTCCATAATGTCCTCAATGATAGAATTAGTTTGAAAAAAATCGTCATCAATAATTGGATCGTTGTGATCCTCACATTGATGTCCTATCCCTTTTATTATACTGTATTTTCCCATTTTGCATATTTATCTTTCTTTTATGTCATTGGTTCTCTCTGCATATCATTCCTCGATTTTAATGTTGTGTATGCCATACAAATAATGAAAATGTTGACCAATAAAGTGGAACTCTGGAACATCCAAGTTGAACATTGTGAGGAACTGGAAGGCAGGCACGGAGGATATTACTGGAGGAAACTGTTTCAGACATACGTCGATATATTGAAGTGTTATGATATACATAACGTTTGTAATAGAGCATCCGTGAGTCTGATTTATTGATTCCATTTTTTACTAATATAATCTAGTGGCATTACCTAAAATAATTTTCACTGGTTAGGCCATTTAAAACTTGATGCGTATATTATGCTTAAACTGAGTCTAAAAAAGTCTCTCTCTAATTCTCAGCAGTACCACGAAATTTGGGATTATGCCCGATATATGGCAATAGGGTCACTCCCTATTACATGGGACTTATAACACAAGTAGTGAAAAGTGTGTGTAACATTGCCTATCCCTTTGGGGATAAAAGGCGTGATGTTATATTATGTTGTCTCTCCCTAATCCAGAAAGTTATTTGTTTTATTTCGTTATCGACAAGTTGACATTGGATCACATAAAAACTTTTTGGTGTTAAAAACATTGTATAAAGAATCATTTGAATATTAATTGTTAATTTAGTTATGTCCATTTTACAGATAGTATTTTACCTTATAGACGTCTTCATACATTCACTTATATACATTCAAGCCTCAATATCATTGGTGCAAGATGATTTCGATTATACTTTGGTAAGTATTTATTAACATCAGGATTTTTTATAGTAAACGAGCAGACGGATCCCCGGATGGTAAGCAATCGGCGCCACCCATGGACACCTGAAATACCAACGCGTATTAGCGTTGAAATTTCCAATTCTCAAAAGGGCTACTTACGTTAGCCCTTTTGAGAATTGGGAATTTAAGGATTGTAAAGGATTCGGGAATTGGGGAAACTGGGGACGGGGTGTGATTGGGCCTCCGGTAACCTCACTCACACGACGAAACACAACGCAAGAGTTATTTCCGTCGGTGTTCTGTGTGGCCGTGGTATGACTCCGTTCGAGCTAGCCCAATCGTGCCGAAGCATGGCTCTCCCACACTTAATACACTTGTGGATTCGAAAATATTATTGAAAACAGTTTTTCAAATGAAAAGGTAAAAAGTAAAATTCAAAGGGTAAATGGTAATGCTATATCAAATTCAAACTGTTATTGTTACAGAATGAAGGAACATTCGTAGCAATATTCATATCTATTTGGGCGACAAAGAATTTTTATTGGCATACAATGTTGATATATCATTATGAGAAATTTTATATCGCTGTTCAAAGAGTAAAGGATACTTGTACACATAAGTTAAAGACTACAAATTCTGGTTTGTTAAATTATTGTTATTATAAAAATTATATTAGTTGACTGCCTCGTTGGCCGAGTGGTCGCAAGTGCGACTGCCGTGCAATGGGTCTCGGGTTCAATTCCCGGGTCGGGCAAAGTATTATTGGGTTTTTAAAAAATCTCAGTAGTAGCACGTAATAAAAAATCTCAGTAGTCTGGATTGTGGGTGAGCCTATTGCCATATACCGGGCACAATTCCAGACTCCGGGAATTGAACTCAAGACCCCTTGCCCGGCAGTAGCACTTGCGACCACTTGGCTAACGAGGCAGTCAGGTCGAGGTGTTATATGAAAAGGTAGTAAACATTCTTATTCTTTTATCAAGCGTGTTGAATTATTTAATTTGGTTATTTCGGTTTGTAGATAATGAAAAAAGGCTATGTAAGAATATTCTACGCTTACACCAAGCTTCGTTCAGCAAGATGAGTCTGTACGGCATGTTCCACGTGGACGCGGCGTTACAGCAGGGGCTGATGTTACTACTTACTGAATATACTGTTGTATTACTACAGTTCGCATTATTGTAGCTTTAAATTCTTAAGTAAACTTGTATTTGTATTTATTTTTGTTTTCAATTGTAACGGAATGATCGCAATTAGAGCGCATTTGGCAGCTAACCAACGACAATCTTTAATCATCAAAAATAATTTTATCCCAAAGGATGAGAGGGGGTAATGATTTTTTAGGGATTATAAATAAAAGCATACAGCATTAGTTAAAGAATTTGACACGTTAAGTGCTCATGTTGAGTACCCTGTTGCTACCGTCGCACCTAAAAACGTCGTGCGTACCTACGGTATGTCACGTAGGCCACATGGGCGCGATGACGTACCTCACGTAGCGCCAGAACCCGTCGACAGGAACGGGCGCGTCGTCTCCTTGTTTGGATCCAACACCAACCGTTACACTAATAAAGATATTCTTTAATGGTGTTTTGACGAACAGCGGATAAAGATGAGCAGTTAATGCTCTTGTCTCTAAACGTACTGTTATACACGATGTTCTGTTCAAAATATCAGATCAAAAACACCTTTATTTGCCCTAACACTGTCTTTGTTAAATGTAGTCTACACGTTTCATAACAACGGCTTTCTATTTAGAACTCCTAATTTAGTAACATTTCTAGCTTATTCATTACTGTGATCGTTCTCAGTAAGCAGTCTGTTAATTTCATTTTAATGTTTAAAAAAGTTCACAAGATCGTCAATGATAAAACTAATTTGTCTTTTTGTTTTGCATAACTTTAGATTTTTTCTGAAATATCCAGACTTTAAGAAAGCTTTTGATTGTTTGTTGATTAAAAAAATTAATGTCGTGGAATTAATTATACAGTATGAAAGCTTGCTCCGCATAAAATAATTTTTGAAAACCTGAATAGCCTTGATTTCATGTTGTTCAATGTGCTGATTTGTGGTGCTGTTACAGATGCACAAGAAATAATGTTAAAAAAATGCTATGTAAGAACATGTTACGCTTGCAGCGACCTTTATTCAGCAAGATGAGTCTGTACGGCATGTTCCACGTGGAAGCTGCGTTACAAAAGGGGCTGATGCTACTACTTACTGAATATACTGTCGTATTGCTCCAGTTTGCATTATTATAAATCGTCATCAAATTAGTTAGTTTTTTTTATATTTATTTATAATTATCATGACGTGCTTTTAATTCATCCTTTGCTACTTTCATAATTATTTCATTTAAAACATCTTCATTTTAATTGTCTTCTTAGGGGCAAACGAAGTCTCTGTGGTGATTTATACTATCAGTAACTATTTCAACTTTTATTCAATTTTTCTATCCTTATCTGTATCCTTCTATCTACTTATTTGTAAAATATTAATTATTCACTTTATGAAACATCCAATATCATTTAAGTACATTATACTTACAGAAGTTTAATGTTACCCGCGACTTCATCCGCAAAATGTCTTCTGACAGAAATTAGGTTTTTGAATTAGTCTTTATCAAGGTATATTCTACAGTTGTAACAAAGGCCATCAAAATCGATTTAGTACCTAGTATATATAATAACATTACCTAAACTGTTATCGCTATAAGCATTCCCTATATTTACGTACGTTTCATTTTAATAATTTAAGTGCAAGTAGATTGTCATTATTAGCTGTCAATTAGTTTAAAACATACATTTTAACACGACCAGGCGCCCCTGTACACGAATAAACATGGTTAATTTTTTTGGAAGGAAATCTTCTTCAAACCATATTTCGATCAATACAATAGATCAAGAAGTGCAAACAATACTTTTGCCTCTAAATACGATGCAGTACATCATGTTCAACCCAAAATATCGCATCAAAAATAATTATATATTCCCAAATAACCTTCTGACTAACTGCCTATCTCTAACTGCAAAAATATTTTTTATAATCTCCTACGGTTATAGTACATATTTTAGTGTACAATATACAGAAGAACTACCTGTTATTTTTCAACAATTCCTATATTTTTATGATTTCGTCTTCTACTGCATCGGTTTCATTGTAGTTTTTGTCATTCAGATTACTCAAAGTAAAAACTCTCTCATGTTCGTGTTGGTATTTCAAAAAGTACACAGGGTACTTAACAATGAGATCAAAACCAAGCGAACTGTTTTTTCTATTTGGACCGTAGTGATCCTCACATCCTTGTTCTTTCCTTGTTACCTCACTGCCTATAGCATATTAGCGAGTTTCCCTTTTCATTTCTTAATAGCCAGTTTCTTTTTTGCGGTTTTTGATTTTAATATCGTCTATGCAACACAAGTGATGAAGTTACTGACAAATAAAGTGGATCTGTGGAACAGCTACGTTGAACATGGCGAGAAACTGGAAGACAGGCATGGAGGAGATTACTATGAGAAACTGTTTCAGACATACGTTGACATATTGGAATGTTATGACATTCATAATAGTTGCTATCGGGCATTCGTAAGTTATGTTCTTAAATTTAGATGAATAATATACTCTTTACACGATCAATATAATAAGGCGATTATGGTGGGAAGTTCTCGTACCTTGTGTAAGGTTGACAGTGCATCTATGCCGCCTGTATTGTTCAACGGTGCGATCATACCATTCAGCAGCGACGTGAGGAATCTTGGCTTGCTTGTTGACAGTAACTTAAACTGGCGTGCTCATGTCACTAGCATATGCCAACGGGTCACCGGGACGCTGCGGGCCCTGTATCGTTTGAGGAACTTTCTTCCGTCCTCTGCTAAGATAATGCTTGTCCAGTCCTTGGTTTTCCCCATTATTGATTATGCTGATGTGTGTTTTTTCGACCTGAATGCAGATCTACTTAACAAACTTGACCGCCTTTTAAATAACTGCATTCGATTCGTCTTCAACCTGCGCAAATATGATCATGTCTCTGCATTTCGATTGCAACTAAAGTGGTTGCCCATACGTCAGAGCAGGGAACAACGGGCGCTAACCACTTTATTCTCCCTTCTTAATTCTCCCAATTTTCCTACTTATCTTTCCCCCTATTTCCAGTATGTGAGCGCTAACCACAGCAAATACCTCCGTTCTTCTAACAATCTTCTGTTGCAATGTCCCACACATCGAACTGACTTCCTTCACTCTTCTTTTTTCGTCCAATCCATCTTGCTGTGGAATGCGATGCCGACGGATATCAGGACGGCGACCAGTCGTCTGTCCTCCAAATTTAAGGTACGCGAGTATCTACAGAAGAAGCTAGCAGACTCAACACACACTTAGGCCTTGTATGTATTTATGTATTTATATGTGTATGTATATGTATGTATATATGTTATATTATGTTATATATTTTCCTTCGTATATTTAGGTATATAGAGGTATATGTCCATATATATGCCCATACTTATTTGTCTACTGTTCGTTTTGCATTACGGATATATTTTAATACTTCTTCATTATATTTAATAACTTTATTATATTCTATGATGTGTATAATTATATATGATGTTAATGTTAACTTTAATCTTAATGTTAATTATATCTACTTGTCAATGTATGATCAAAACTCACAAGTTTGCACCTACTATTGTGTCTCTCTGCATCACCCTAAGGTTGACTGTTAGAGAATGCCATTAGGCATTAAGTCCGCCTTTGTATACCTACATGAAGTGTAAATAAATAAATATATTAAGCAACTGAATCTCTTACAGATAATGTTTTACATTATGGAGGTATTCAACCATTCTCTGGTTTATATTGAAGAAGCGCTGATGGTCATACAATACGGTTTTGAATATTATGAAAGTATAGTAAGTGTCATGATTTTATTGTAAGCATTAAAGCGTCATCTGACCACCACAGATGGGGCCCAATAGGGCCGATGCCGATACGGAACATCAAAGGACTTAACGGGTTGCTGGGGCTTCGGCTCGAAGTGCAGAAGTAGGAACGGGTGGTTATAGTCAGTAAGAGTTTGACACTCCCTCCCGCCTCACCCGGGCGAATTCAGTGGATGACTTTCCCTTTAAAAAAAACATTAAATTTCTTAAAAACTTGATTTATTACATCAAACATATCACTGATTATTGCAAACATGTTTTTGTTATAAGTTTAGGAGTAAACGTTGACAATATTTTTAGTATTAGAAAACTTGATAACGACACTTCTATGCCTGTATTCACCAACCTCTCCAAAATTTTAAGGAACCGCTAATCTGAGATGTGGCATTTAACGATATTTTGGTTTTCATCAACCTATAAGTGACACCTAACAATATAAGTGAGGGGTTAGCTTAGGTGCTGCGTCAAGTACTTATGTAACTTTTAGTTTTTAGGCGTCTAAGTCCCAAAACCGCTGCAACTCCTGTAAGCCAGGATGTATCTACTGAGATACAACCATGAAAATACTCGAACACTGAAGTCCGGCGGCGCGTCTGAGGGACATGAATAACTGTCTTGGTTCCCGCAACGAAATAAATCTGAAGATATGAGAAATGAATGAATGAAGATATGAATATACATATGAGGACAAGAAAAAGCGATAGTTTCCACTTCCCTTGACAAAATGAATGAAGGAGATAGAATGAATTTCGGCGTGGTTGGTGGAAACGGTCACTAGACTATAAGACGTATAGTTATCAATAACCAAACTTATTGTACTGGTTGCTATATTTTTGGACAGCAGTCTTGTTTTATGTTTATTGGTATACAATTCAAATGTTACGATACATTTATTTCATTACAGAGTCAAATATCTTGGGTAACAATATTAATATTTATATGGCTGTTGAAGAATTTTTTATTGCTCACAAAGCTGATACATCAATATGAAAAGTTTTATATAGCGGTTGGCAATGCTCACGATACTTGTACACACATGTTAAGAACAACAAACTCTGGTAATTGTTTTTAGATTTTTATTATAGGAACGTATACGATTAGGCGTATTACCTGATAAATAAAAAAAACATTTATTCTTTCTCCAAAAATTTTACATACTCGAGATGTATGTCATACAATATTTAATTTGGTTTTAAATTTAGTTTGTGGGGAAACTGGGGCCAATACTAAGCCGGGGCCTGTTTCTCAGGTCTCCAGGTCCAGGTCAGGTGTGTGTCTGTTTGACATTTGACATACACTTTTTTTACACAGATGCTGAAAAAAGGCTATGTAAGAACATGTTACGCGTGCACCGAGCTTCGTTCAGTAAGATGAGTCTGTACGGCATGTTCCACGTGGACGCGGTGTTACAGCAGGGGCTGATGATGCTCCTTACTGAATATACTGTTGTATTACTACAGTTCACATTTTTATAATGTAATTCATTAAGTTGATTAAGATTATGAGCTTTTATCTGTTTATGTGCCTGTGTAGATAATTATATTCTAAAGCGAGACTTTGTAATATACTCCACGCCTGATTCTTTGTTTTCCAAAATTCAAGCTTATAGCTTTTCGCAAAGGACACACCGGTGGTCGGGGATCGTGGGACGGTCTCCGGCCACCGTAAGCGCGGGCCTACGGACGGTGAGCATGGGTGACTCCCCGCTCGACCAGAAACAGACCCCAGTCGCTTCCGCGTGCGCCTCAAAGAGCCATCAGACCACCACAGATGGGAGGGCCCAACAGGGCCGATGCCGATTCGGAGTCGCGAAGAACCTAACGGGTTACTGGGGCTCTGGCTCGACGTGCAGGAGAAGGAACGGGGTGGTTTTTAGTCAGTAAGAGTCTGACACTCCCTCCCGCCTCACTCAGGCGGGAGAAGTAATTCGAGGATTTTTCCCCTTAAAAAAATAGCTTAGTTTGGGGAGCAGTGTCAGTATCTGTAATTGTATCTGTAACTTAATGAATATATGTATATACTATTGTATTGCTATGGTTTGCGTTATTATAGTTATTTTTAAAAATGCACATTTTGAAACTTTTTATGTACTAACCGACATCAAAAAAAGAACTTTCTCAATTTGAGATGTTTGTATGTTTGAACGTGATTACCTCGCGATTAGATGAACGGGTTTTTAAAAAATGTTACACTTACGAGAACATTTTAGTATATTAATTTACTGACTTCAAAACAGAGGGGGTTGAAGCCGGTTTTTTAACGTATTTTATAAAAAAAATTATAATGTGTCACCTATATCCAATTAATATATCAACCGTGGCTTATATAGTAGCCATTATAGCCACTATTTGCATAATGAATACGGATACCAGACGAACGTAGTCAAGAATTTACAAGCTATTTGTATTACAAAAAGCCTGATTGAAAATTTTCTAGTTGGCGTAGTAGTTTGGGAGTCTACTTAATGAAATATTTTATGTAATATTTGTATAGATTCATTTAGAAACATTCTTCGATTGTTCCATTTGGTGACAGTAATAATTCAGCCTTCATCGTTTTATTGTTATAATTTATTAGTAAGTTATAGTCATTAGGAATCGCTTAACCAATTAGGTCAGTTGTAGGACACGCCTGTATGAATATGGAGATGTTTCAAAATACTCCACAAACATTGTCTGTTAAAGTGGTTTTTATGAATACAGTAGATAAAGATGTGCGAGCAATGCTTTTACCACTAAACTTGATGCAATATTTGATGTTCTGTCCAAAATATCGCATCAAAAACGATTTTATAATACCAAATAGTTTCATAACTGGCTTTGTATCTCTGATTAGTAATATAGTGTTCATAGTTACATTCGCATATAGCTTGTATGCAACTAATTACTACAGTCCAAAAAATACCGAAGCAAATAGTTTTCATTTGTTCATGACTGTGTATGACAGCATCTTCTATTTTTTTGGTTTCGTATTAAATTTTGTGATCGGGATTGTTCAAAGTAAAAAATCTATTAGATTCGTTATAATTTTTCAAGAAGTACACAGGTTCCTTAATAATAAAATCAATACCAAGCACACTATCACTTGGAACTGGCTCGTTGTGTTACTGATGATAATATCCAATTTCATTTACCACATTACTTTCTCCTTATGTATGTATGTGCCTATCAAATTCACTATTTCTGAGTTCACAATATCATTTTTCGATTTCAATATGATTTGTACAATACAAGTCATCAAGTTCTTGAAGTACAAAGTTGATTTGTGGAATATTCAAGCTAAATACGGTGGGGATCTGCAATGTAGGCATCGGGGAGAATACTGGAAGAAATTGTTTCAGACATACGTTGATATATTGGAGTGTTATAACATTCATAACGTTAGCTATCGGGCATTTGTAAGTTTTTAATACTATTTCACTTTTGTTGGTAATTTTATTTTGATCCTATACAATTTTGTTTATTTACAAACCTGTTATTGCTTTATTTTTACGTCTAGTATTGGTTCTTGTGAAAATGTTATTTTTCATATTATCCTGTTTTGCAGATAGTATATTACACTTTAGAAGTTTTGGTGCATACTCTTGTTTACATTGAAATGTTCATCAACGCAGTTTTCTACCTTCTAGAGGAAGAATATGTGAGTGTTGTTTAAAGTTGGCTATGCTAGCATTAAAGCTTGATAGAGACTAAAACTACTCATCTACAATATAAAAGGATGGTGGGCAAAAATGTATGAGCGGCGCACCCAGCACCGCCACGGTTTAGACTATTTCTGTGTGAAAGGTATCACAGCCATGGTTCACTCTGAGCCAAAAATTCAGATTCTGTCCAGGATTCTCTGTATGTGTAGTCTTATCTGTGGCGAACGTGCGTGTGCCGCCTATACATGTAAGGAACTGATAGCTCAACCGAATACAATCATGTTAATACACAGAGAATCCCGGGACATAATTTGACGAGCTTTGGCACAGTGAACTATGGCTGTGATACTTTTCAAGTAGTCCAAGCCATGGTGGAGCTGGGGGTGTGTGGCTCACTGTCACCTGCCCAGAATTTAATGAATTTCAATTTTCTAAATTCACTTTTGTTTTTTATGAACAATCATTTACAGTTTATTTCTGTTACAGGACGAAAGACTTTTAGTCATTCTAATGTTATTGTTTGCATGGATATTGAAAAATATCACCTTGTTAACATTTTTGATACATCAATATGAAATGTTTTACATAGCAGTTCAAAATGTTCAGGACACTTGTGCACTTATATTAATGACAACAGAATCTGGTGAGCTACTTTATATTTTAGTAGTTTAGGCTCTCTCATATTACTCTTATACTATACGACAAAAGCCTCATGCCATTAAATAAACTGATAAAAACCAAAGACCAATCAAGGCTTTATCACACCAATAGACCAATGAATGGTCCCTGGTCTAATTTGTAGATAGAATTAAAACTGCTACTGACTGGAATTTTAAAATTAGAGTTACTGACGATTCTAATCTACTTAGGTAAAAGATGAAAAAGACTAATATCATTTTGAAAGTGGTTGCTGTTTTCTTCGCAGATGCAGAAAAAAGACTTCATAAGAACATGCTACGGTTGCACCGAGCTACATTCAGCAAGATGAGTCTGTACGGCATGTTCCACGTGGACGCTGCGTTACAGCAGGGGCTGATGTTACTACTTACTGAATATACCGTTGTATTGCTACAGTTCGCGATTTTGTGAAGTCTTGATAAAATTGTTGTAACATAATGTAACATAACATCACGCCTTTTATCCCCGAAGGGGTAGGCAGAGGTGCACATTGCGGCACTGTACAATGTAACACCCACTTTTCACTATTTATGTTATGAGTCCCATGTAATAGGGGGTGAGCCTATTGCCATATACCGGGCACATTTCCAGTCTCCGTACTACTACTGAGATTTTTAAAAACCCAGTAATACTTTGCCCGACCCGGGAATAGAACCTGAGACCCCTTGCCCGGCAGTCACACTTGCGACCACTCGGCTAACGAGGCAGTCATAAAATTGTTGTATTAATAAATGTACTCAATCAATTTCTTTGGTTTCTGGATTTTAAAAGCTGTTTTTTTCTGCCTGATAGCGGTACAAAAAACGGTAATCAATCTGCTGACAGAGTGTAATGTTAATCCTATTTAATAATCATAATTACAAAGTTTGTAAAGATGTCTGTTTGTGTTACTCTTTCATGTGAAAACGGCTGAAGGGATCAGGGGAATGGAATAATACATAGGCTTTTTATCCAGCGGGAACAAGGACGAAGACGCTAGCAAAAGCTATAGTTTACAATATTTGTTTTATAAGTTCCTCGGCAAGCAGTTACTTGAGTCTTTTTCGGCTCTCTTACTCTTCAGGCGCAATTCCGACGTCATAGAAGACAGCTTTAGTCCATCCGATCCCTAAAAAAGGTGATCGATTTAATCCGTCCAGCTACAGACCGATAGCTATAACTTCCCTCTTCTCGAAAATAATGGAGTCCATTATTAACTGCCAGCTCCTGCGTTACTTAGAGGATCATCAGCTGCTCAGTGAAACAAGTGAAACAAGTGAAACAAGTGAAACAAGTGAAACAAGTGAAACAAGTGAAACAAGTGAAACAAGTGAAACAAGTGAAACAAGTGAAACAAGTGAAACAAGTGAAACAAGTGAAACAAGTGAAACAAGTGAAACAAGTGAAACAAGTGAAACAAGTGAAACAAGTGAAACAAGTGAAACAAGTGAAACAAGTGAAACAAGTGAAACAAGTGAAACAAGTGAAACAAGTGAAACAAGTGACAAGTGAAACAAGTGAATTTATTTCTGCAAATAGGCTACAAGGCAGCACTTTTACACGTTAATTTTATCAAGCGAACGATGAGGTGTGAGCATCAATACGTACCTACATAATCGGTTATTATGTAATACTAGCTTCTGTCTGCGACTTCGTACGAGCAGCTCTATTTTCTCCCGTTCCCGTAGGATTTTCAGGATTTTTTTTTCTGTCATAAGACTTTTCACCTAACAATAACAAACACAATGAAGAAGAATCAGCTAAGTCAGTCTAGCTGTTCTCAAGTTATGGCGTGACACCGGGAAACGGGTTTCATTTTTATAAATATATATAGATAGTTAAGATTTGTACTTCAGTGTCATCACTGTCGTCTCATCATCATCATCATCAACAGCCTATAAATGCCCACTGCTGAGCAAAGCCTCTTCTCACACGGAGAAGGTTTGAGCATTAATCACCACGCTTGCTCAATGCGGGTTGGCGATTTCAAACTTATAATTAGAAATTATAAGTCCAGGTTTCCTCACGATGTTTTTCCTTCACCGTTTGTCATTGGTGTCTAAATAATCTTAGAAAGTACATATAACTCGGAAAAAGTCACATTGGAGCTTGCCGTTGGTAGGTTTCGAACCTGCACCCTAATGCATGAGAAGCGGGCGTCTTAAACCTCCGGGCCACCACTGTCGTCTAGGTACTACTTTATTATTCACTAGCTTTTACCCGCGGCTTCGCTCGCGTTACAAAAGGATAAAAAGTAGCCAATGTGACATATACCAATACACTATCTATACCAATACTTTTGTTTTCCCTCGGGAATATCAAATTTTTCTGGGATAAAAAGTACCCTATTTTTTAATCCGGACTTCTAACTTTACGTCTACAAATATTCAAAGCAATCGGTTTAGTAGTTACGGCGAGAAAGCGGAACAAACAAACAAACTCACTTTCCCATTTATAATATTAGTAAGGATTAAATCGATTAGCTAAACTACTATGGTAATAAGCACTATGGTAATAAATGAAATGTTAGGTAGGAACCCAATGTTTTATTTTAATGATTTAACAGAATGTGGTCCAACATTAACTGCTGATAACTTTATTAACTTCTTAAAATATAACAACCACTGTATACGAATAAACATGTCAACATTTTTTGAAAGGAAATTTTCTTTAGATCGTATTTCTATAAATAGAGTGGACAAAGAAGTACAAACAATGCTTTTGCCTTTGAATTTGATGCAATATATTACATACAGCCCAAAATATTGCATCAAAAATAATTATATATTCCCAAATAACCTTCTGACTTACTGTCTTTCTCTAACTGCAACTATATTCATTATAGTCTCCTACATTACCAGTCACCATTTAAGCATCATTTCCGGAACAAAAGAAAATGTCGGTTTTTTAGATTACCTATCTTTTTATGATTCCGCCTTCAACAGCATCGGTTTCACTTTAATTTTTGTCATACAAATTATGCAAAGTAAAAACTCTGTCATGTTCGTGTTGATGTTTCAAAAAGTACACAGGGTACTTAACAATGAAATTAACACAAACCAAACTGTTTTTGTCATTTGGACCGTTGTGATTCTAACATCATTGTTCTTTCCTTGTTATTTCACTGCCTATTGCATATTAGCGAATTTCCCTTTTCGTTTCTTAATAGCCACTTTTTTCTTAGCGGTTTTTGATTTTAATATCGTATATGCAACAGAAGTGATTAAGTTACTGACGAATAAAGTGGATCTGTGGAACAACCATGTTGTACGTGGCGAGGAACTGGAAGACAGGCATGGAGGAGATTACTATGAGAAACTGTTTCAGACATACGATGAAATATTGGAGTGTTATGACATTCATAATACTTGCTTTCGGACATTCGTAAGTCATGTTCTTAAGTTTAGATGAATAACATACTCTTTACACGATCAATATAATATATTAAGCAACTGAATCTTTTACAGATAATGTTTTACATTGTGGAGGTATTCAACCATTCTCTAGTTTATGTTGAAGAAGCGCTAACGGTCATACAATACGGTTCCAAGTATTATGAAAGTACAGTAAGTGCCATGATTTTATTGTTCGCATTGAAGAGCCATCCGCACTCCGGCTCGAAGTGCAGGAGTAGGAACGGGGTGGTTTATAGTCAGTAAGAGTCTGACACTCCCTCTTGCCTCAACCGAGCGAAGCCATTAGATGATTTTCCCCCTTCAAAAAAAGCATTAAATTTCTTATAAACTCGATTTATAAATATTACTGCAAATATATTTCTGTTGAAGAGTTTATATGTTAATGTAGATAACACTTTTACCATTGCAATACTCGAAATCGACACTTCTATTGTCTGTTTTCACAAACCTCTCCAAAATTTGAAGCAGGTGACATTTAACGATATTTTGACTTTCATCAACCTATAAGTGATACCTAACAGTACAAATTAGGGATTAGTTTAGGTGCCGCGTCAATCTAAGTAACTTTTAGTTAAGAGATAGTTTATGCGTGGTTGGTGAAAACGACCACTAGCTCCATCCTCAAGCGGTCACCGGTGACCGCTCTCCACTATCTCCATTATGGATCTAATTTCCGATATTTAGATACTACTTTTGTATGAACAAATTTAGGGTACGATATTTCAACAGGCTAGCGCCTAACGGGTAACCGGGGCTCCGGCTCGACGTGCAGGAGAAGGAACGGGGTGGTTTTTAGTCAGTAAGAGTCTGACACTCCCTCCCGCCTCACCCAGGCGGGAGCAGTCATTCGATGATTTTCCCCCCTTAAAAAAAAGACTACAAGAATATAGATAGTTATCCATAACCATGCTTATTGTACTAATTGCTATATTTTTGGACAGCAGTCCCATTTTTAGTTTATTGATATACATTTCAATCGTAACATTTATTTCATTACAGACTCAAATAACTTGGGTAACAATATTAATATTTATATGGCTGTTGAAGAATTTTTTATTGCTCACAAACATGATACATCAATATGAGAAGTTTTATATAGCGGTTGGAAATGTTCAGGATACTTGCACACTCATATTAAGGACAACAAACTCTGGTAATTGTTTTTAGATTTTTATTATAGGAACGGCAGGTAAACGATTAGACGTGTCACCTGATAAATAAAAAAAAACTATTATTCTTTCTTCAAAAACTTTACATACTCGAGATGTATGTGATACAATATTTAATTTGGTTTTAAATTCAGTTTGTGGGGAAACTGGGGCCTAAACTAAGCCGGGGCCTGTTTCTCAGGTCTTCAGGCCCCTCTCAAGGACAGAAAAATGCGTACAGGCTGGCGATAGCTAAATAAAATTTGTATAAAATAGCTAAATAATATTATAATAAACTTCATTACTACTATATAATAAACTTAATATTATAATAATTGATGTGGACTTTAATACTCATTATTATTATTGTGTGTGTGTGTGTGTTTGACATTTGACATACATTTTTTTACACAGATGCTGAAAAAAGGCTATGTAAGAACATGTTACGCTTGCACCGAGCTTCGTTCAGCAAGATGAGTCTGTACGGCATGTTCCACGTGGACGCGGCGTTACAGCAGGGGCTGATGATGCTCCTTACTGAATATACTGTTGTATTACTACAGTTCACATTTTTATAATGTAATTCATCAAGTTGATTAAGATTTTGTGTTTTTATCTGTTTATGTGCCTATGTAGATAATTATATTCTAAAGTGAGACTTTGTAATATACTTCACACCTGATTCACTGTTTTTTAAAAACAAGCTTATAGTTTAAAAAACACTTTGTATAATACAAGGAATCTATCTAGATAAGCTTAAAACTACGATTATAACACCCTCACACAAAAAGGGCGATAAAACTATAATGACAAACGATAGACCAATTGCATTAATCCCAATCATATCGAAAATATTCGAGAAAATAATATACAAAGCATTATATGTATATTTAGAAAGAAATAGAATATTAATTGATGAACAATATGGATTTCGCAAAGGAATAGGCATTCATTTAGCAATACATACATTTAGAGGTATTAAACCAATTATTTCTAGTATGGATAGAAACTATCCTATATGTGCCATCTTCATGGATATGAGCAAAGCCTTCGACTGCGCCAATCACAAAAACTTATTAAAAGGTTAAATTCATATGGAATACGGGGTAATATCACAAATCTAATTTAATCATACCTTACTAATAGAAAATAATTTACTGAACTTGAACAAATTTATCCTAAAATAAAAAAATACACATCAGATACAGCAATAGTCAATTCGGCATTCCACAAGGTAGTGTTTTAGGCCCACTGCTCTTTTTAATCTACATTAATAGTACATTAATAGTAGATAGTTAAGACTAAGTACTTCTTGACACTGTCGTCTACTGCTTTATTATTCATTAAATTGATTTCGTAAACTACTATGGTAATAAACACTATGGTAATAAATGAAACGTTAAGTAGAAACCTAATGTTTTATTTTAATAATTTAACAGAATGTGGTCCAACATTAACTGCCGATAACTTTGTTAACTATTTAAAATATAACATGACCACTGTTCACTAATAAACATGTCAATTTTTTTTGAAAGTAAATTTTCTTTAGGCTGTATTTCGATAAATACAGTGGACAAAGAAGTACAAACAATGCTTTTGCCTTTGAATTTGATGCAATATATTATGTACAGCCCAAAATATCGCATCAAAAATAATTATATATTCCCAAATAACTTTCTGACTAACTGCTTATCTCTAACTGCAAAAATATTATCTATCGTCTCCTACGCTTGTAGTGTTTATTTTGGTGTACGATTTACAGAAGAACAACCCGTTACTTTTCTACAATTCCTATCTTTTTATGATTGCGTCTTCTACAGCATCGGTTTCACTATACTTTTTGTCATTCAGATTACTCAAAGTAAAAACTCTGTCATGTTCGTGTTGATGTTTCAAAAAGTACATAGGATTCTTAACAATGAGATCAACACCAAGCGAACTGTTTTTTCCTTTTGGACCGTAGTGATCCTCACATCATTGTTCTTTCCTTGTTATTTCACTGCCTATGGCATATTAGCGAATTTCCCTTTTTATTTCTTAATAACCAGTTTTTTCTTAGCTGCTTTCGATTTTAATATGGTATATGCAACACAAGTGATGAAGTTACTGACGAATAAAGTAGATCTGTGGAACATCCATGTTGAACATGGTGAGGAACTGGAAAACAGGCATGGAGGAGTTTACTATGAGAAACTGTTTCAGACATACGTTGACATATTGGAGTGTTATGACATTCATAATAGTTGCTATCGGGCATTCGTAAGTCATGTTCTTTAGTTTAGATGAATAACATACTCTACATGATGACTATATTAAACAACTGATCCTGTTACAGATAATGTTTTACGTTGTTGAAGTATTTAACCATTCTCTAGTTTATGTTGAAGTAGCTTTAACGATGATACAATACGTTTCTGCGTTTTATGAAAGTACGGTAAGTGTCGTGATTTTATTGTTAGCTTTAATTTGTTAAACATTCGATTTATTTTATAAATGTAAACTAGCTACTTCCCCACAGTCACACTTGCTCCACTCGGCTCCTATTGATGGTAGAGTGACGAAATTTTCTGAAAAAAACTTAGCTAGATCGATTTATCGCCTCCGAAACCCCCTGAATACAAAATTTCAAGAAAATCGAAGGAACCGTTTCTGAGGTCGTCGTTTAAAGGTATTATTAGATTAGACATAATTCAACCGAATCATTGATTTTGTTACAGATTGAATCAACATTAATAACAATTTTGATATTTATATGGCTGCTGAAGAATTTTTTATTGCTCACAAAGCTGATACATCAATATGAAAAGTTTTATATAGCGGTTGGAAATGTTCAGGATACTTGCACACTCATATTAAGGACAACAGACCTTGGTTATTGTTTTTAGTTTCTTTTTTATATGAACGGCAGGTTAATGATTAGGCGTATCATCTGATAAATAATAAAAATCCCTTATTCTTTCTCCAAAGGCTTGACTCGAGATATATGTGGTACAATATTTAATTTGGTTTTAAATTTAGTTTGTGGGGAAAGTGGAGCCTAAACTAAGCCGGGGTCTGTATCTCAGGTCTCATACCTCATAGCACACGTTAGCAATAACTAACATTGAAAAAACTTAATATTATAATTGATGTGGACCTTTATATATACATTATTATTGTGTGTGTGTGTGTGTGTGTTGTGTGTGTGTGTTTTTTTTAAGGGGGAAAATCATCGAATGACTTCTCCCGCCTGGGTGAGGCGGGAGGGAGTGTCAGACTCTTACTGACTAAAAACCACCCCGTTCCTTCTTCTGCGCTTCAAACCGGAGCCGGGTAACCCGTTAGAATCGTGTGTGTGTGGAATAATTTTTAATGGTAAGATTTTGACATTTGACATATTTTTTTAACACAGATGCTGAAAAAAGACTATGTAAGAATATTCTACGCTTGCACCGAGCTTCGTTCAGCAAGATGAGTCTGTACGGCATGTTCCACGTGGACGCGGCGTTACAGCAGAGACTGATGTTACTACTTACTGAATATACTGTTGTATTACTACAGTTTACATTTTTATAGTGTAATTCATCAAGTTGACTACGATTATGTGCTTTTATCTGTTTATGTGCCTATGTAGATAATTATAATGTACACATAAAGGAAATGTATGCGAACCACATTTTACTTTTAACCACAATTTACTTTTATTATGCTTAAAATGATTTGTGTCACTTTCATTAACATGGATTGTGCTAATCAGTGCTAACATTGATGAAATAATTGAAATAATAATATTATTTGACTTAAGGCTGACTTTTCCAACGTCAGATAAATTATAACAAAGAAATAACTTTGAATATTTGACAATTCTCCCATACTGAAAACTGTCATTAATAAATTTACTTCTACAGTTAAAAAATATCTGTGGATTGAAAAATTGACTCTTTATGACATACACTAATCACATGATGAAGTTAATGGATTTATTCTTCTTTACTACCTTTGAACGATGAATAGATAAATCAGATGTACAAAGTGATAGACGAGTTTTATCAGTATGCCTATGAACACAGAGGAGTCCCCAGAGACTTTGCTATGGGTCCAACGCTTATTTTATTTACATAATAAGAGATAGATTTCACGATATAACTAATATATAGATGGCATAGTGTATAACTTTTTCTTTCTAGTCAGTTTTGATTATCGAAAGACATATAAAAATTCCAGACTACATTTATTGGAGTTTTTGTTTAATATGTGGCAATTGATTTTTTGCATAGAATTTTTTTTATGGCATAAGCCGGTAAACGAGCAGACGGATCACCTGATGGTAAGCAATCAGCGTCACCCATGGACACCTGGAACACCAGAGGCGTTACAAGTGCGTTACCGGCCTTTTGGGGATTAGGAGGTTGATGATCGTTGGGGATTCAGGGATTGGGAGAGGGGAGGGTAATTAGGCCTCCGGTAACCTCACTCACACAACGCAAGCGTTGCTTTACGTCGGTTTTCTGTGAGGCCGTGGTATCACTCCGGTCGAGCCGGCCCATTTGTGCCTAAGCATGGCTCTCCCACACTTATTATTAACTACATAACAAATTAAATTTTAATGAGTAAGCTATGTATCTGCACGAATAGGCCGGTTCGATTCGATGTGCACTCACAGAAAACTGGCATGAAACAACGTTTGCTTTGTGTTTTGCCGTTTGTATCTTGCGTTGTTTTCCTAATCCTCCCTATCCATTCCTAACCAATAAAACGAAACTGAGACAGATTAGACCACCAGACCCGCAAAGCACTTGTATTTTTATTTGACCAAGGGCGACGACGATGATCATCAGGTGATCCATTTGTTTGTTTGCCGCCCTATAACATACAGGTCCATAGATATGATGGCAGTTACTGGCGTGTATTAAGAATGATTGATATAGATTATATAAACAATTACTATAAGAGACACACATTAATGGCTTATAGTAATGATAAAATTGAACGCTATATAATAATTTCCTTATTCAGTTTAATAGACATTGCAGTACATTATTTTTCATTACATTACAAGGATTTTTGTAGGTTGGTTGGTTATTATCTACAAAAATTATGGAATCCCATCATATTCAAGAAAGTAATTTACTGGACAAGGATATTGAATCAGTTTTTTTCCCACTAAACTTAATGCAGTATTTAATATTCAGCCCAAAATGTTGTATTAGGAATAATGTGATATCATCTAACAGTCTTTCTTCTATGTGTATTTCATTCATCGGTACATTAGTCTTTATGGTTATTTTTACTATCTGCATTTGGTATTCGCCGGTTATTGAGCATACTCCTTTCATGATTATAAGCAGTTGCTTCGATTGCGTCTTCTATATCTTTGGATTCGCTATGAATTTTTCTGTAGCTTTCATGCAATCCGAAGATTTTGTCCGATTTGTTCTTATTTTTCAAAGGCTGCATAGATCTTTTTACATTGAAACCAGCCTTAACAACCTTATCAAAATGAACAGAATTGTTGTTATTCTGTTTTCTTGTTTTTACGCAGCTGGTTTTATACCAGGTGCGATCATAATGAAATTGCAATTTCCTAAAATTTGTGCTAGTTGTATTTTGATAGTTTTTGACTTTAACGTCATTTACACTATACAAGTATTCAAACTTCTGGTAAAAGAAGTTGTATTATGGAATATCCATGTTATGAATTCTCATAAATCAGAAAGTATGTCACCGAGAAACGATAAATTCTTTCAATCATTTGCTGATATATTGGAATGTTACAAATTATACAAACGAAGTTTTCAGGTGTATGTAAGTATACAATTTTAAATATTTTGTTTTCTCATGGCTTTCTTTACTTACCACCTATAAACTATTTCTTGATTTGAATTAAATAATTGGCGTAGGTAGCACCTAGGTGCTCCGGCCACCACAGTGCCGGTAGCCGGTGGCAGGGGTCGGTATTAATCACTAAAAATCATAATAGCGTAAATTTTCACCTATCTCCGCTTAGGCGAAATTAAAATTTAAGAAAGGTTGTTGAAAACAGGCATTAATCATGTAAATATTTACAAATTCAAATACAATCTCATAGATAAGACATTGTGCTACAAAATACTATCAAACTATGACATTGCGTTTTGATTAATTTTATGTGTCGTTTGTGTTATACTTGTATCTTGTTTCAGGTTCTCTTTTACAATATAGAAAGTTTTGTACATTCTTTAATATACTTTCAAACTTCATTTGTGGCGTTGCGTGTGGATTTAGTAAGTATTCTTTTTCATCTATTACTCTTTCTCAATCCATTTTCTCGAAAGCGTCATGGAAATTTGGCCTACAACAAAGCATGTGTTGTGTTTTACCATGTGAATGAGGCTACTGAAGGCTCAATTCCTCACCTCCCTAATTTCTGCAATCGTAAAATCCAAAAAAAAAAAATATTTATTAATTTCTTAACTCCTTAAGGTCGGTAACGCACTTCTAATTCATCTGGTGCTTCGGTTGCCTATGGGCAGCATAGGTTCCCACGATCAGGTGATCAGTCTGATCGTTTGCCAGCCTATACTACAAACAGTCATCATCTTAAGTATACTTAAGCTACGTTGTTTTCCTATCTTCAATCATATAATAAACTTTAATTATAATGTTTATGATGTTCTCACGTGTCAACTTTGTGGGAAACTATTTATTAACAAAGGTAACCACATATTTTCTTCTTCTAGCCACTTGTGAGCCCGTAATAGACGCCAGTAGTCACAAAACGGTCGCCGTAGCCGAAACTGGCATGAAGGATTATTTCCATATATTTATTTAAAATTCCTACGTCACGTTTTTAAATACTACAAAATTAAAAATAATATTTAAATATATAAAAATAGCAGCCGACTAGTTGTTACTGTATACCCCTGTCTAATGGATTCACCAGGACTGTGACATGCCCGACATATGTCAACCGTCCCATCAATAATTATATATTTATAAATTATTATTATTAAACTTTATTATTATATGTTTTCTTCCTTCCAGGGATTTCCTGAAATGGTCGTAATATCTGTTTTCCTTTGGTTGTCCAAGATTGTGCTCCTGCAAATAAAACTTATTCAAGAATGTGAGAATTTCTATGAGGCCATTCAAAATGTACGAGATACATGTGCACTTATTGCGAAGACAACTAAATCTGGTAACATTTTTGGCTTATTGACATAGCTTATAAGATTATGGTATTCCTTACTGAGTTATGGACAACAAACATTAGGCAAGGTATTCACCCTTTTTTCACAATTTTAACATTCATTGATCTGGAAGTATTAGGGAATTCTATTCTATTGTCAGCAGTGGACGTCATGCAGCTAATGGTGAGGACGATGATGGAGGTGATTATATTAATATATCAATATCGGTTATGGTAAAAAATTATATCATTTTACAGAAAATGAACGTAGATTCTGCAAGAACGTGTTGCGTCTCCACCGCGTCTCATTCAGCAAGATACGCGTATGTGGTTTGTTCTATCTAGACGCCTCGCAACAACTCAGTCTGATGAGCCTCATCACTAACTACATAATTGTATTACTGCAGTTTGCATTCTTGTAATTTACCTTCATTAAACTTAATGGGTGAATTTGAAAATTATTTTTTTCTTGAATATTATTAACTATTTCAAATTTACTATGGTTTTGTCACAACATAACATAACATCACGCTTTTTATCCCCGAAGTGCACAGGTAGTCAGAGGTGCATATTACGGCACTTAATGCCACTGTACTCTTTTCATTATTTATGTCATGAGTCCCATGTAATAGGGGGTGAGTCTGTTGCTTTAAAACCAGGCACAATTTAAAACTCTGTGCTACTACTGAGAATTTTTCAAAAATCTAGTAATACTTTGCCCGACCCGGAAATCGAACTTGCTTAATAGTCGGACTTGCGACCAATCAGCCAACAACGTAGTCACAACGCTTTGTAAATTACTAGCTGTAGCCGTGCGCGTCGCTATAGCACCAACTTAAATTTGTTGGAGAAACAGTGACGTCATCAATGGAATTTTGAACTTGCCTATTTACAAGCCTTCGTAAAAGGCTTTGACAATAATTTTACTAAAGATAATCATTACACATTTATTTTTATAATACGACAGCCAGTCATTCTAAAGTTAAAAGTAGAGCATTTCCCTCCTATCAGCCTACCAGATTATATTATCAAAATACTCAACGAAACGAATCAAACGAGCCCTAACTCGATGGGGCTGGCTCGTTTAATTGTGAAGTTCTATGCGGCCACTATTTCCCGGAAGATCTGAATTGGATCAGATACCTAAATAGAATTTTCGAGGGTTTGGGAACACCAAGCAACTTGGCCCGGATTCAGTGAGTTACCTGTAGATAGTATTACTTTTAAAAACAATCTAACAGGTGGGTGTCGCGGAGAACTTAACGGGTTACCGGGGCTCCGGCTCGACGTGCAGCAGAAGGAACGGGGTGGTTTTTAGTCAGTAAGAGTCTGACACTCCCTCCCGCCTCACCCAGGCGGGAGCAGCCATGCGATGATTTTCCCCCCTTAAAAAAAATCCAACAGGTGGGTTGCGGGAAAAAATAAATAGTAATCTACTCTCTGAAGATGGGATGTCTCTACTACAAGACTTTTTGTTGTATGATCCCGCGAGAAGGATGACAGCAGACGCCGCTTTGGATCATGCATACTTCAAAGAACAGCCGTTGGCGATCGAACCGGCCAGGTTCCCGATGTGGCCTGCCAAGTCGGAGAGCACCTTGCAGCTCAGCCCTTGACAAGGATGGGGCTCTCGGATGCAGTAGCACTAGGTTTCCATCAAATAAGCCGCCAAATAAGCTGCGAGCGGAGAATCACCTGACCCGACAACACAGGCGTTACAAGTTGCGATGCCGAACTTCTGGGAGTTTGGAGATAGAAGACTGGATTTACGATTGAGCTTTTGTTCCAGTGAATAGAAATCATGTTTAAATGTATTATTATTAAATGTTTCTTGTGTTTAACGTATGTACTATATAACTGTAGAGTAGTAGTAATAGTAGCAATAGACTACAAAAATGCAATATAAGTTAAAATAGAAAATAAATTAATGTCACGCTTTAAAAAGAAGTAGTAAATGCCTCCAGCCTGCTATTTATTGATTGATAAAAGAACTTAAAACTTTCGTGCTTCTTTCTTTTCCATTCAAAGCTATACTTTGGGACAAGTTAGCTTCATTGAGAGACAGACTGCTGGACAATTCAATGTTCACTATTCAAAGGTACTTAATTAGAGATTAAAAACGGAGTTGTCTGTTTGACACTAAGAAGAAAGTTTTAGTATATTAATTAGCTGACTTGGAAACAAGACGCTGTTGAAGTCGGTTTTTTTAAACCTACTTTCAAATATTTTTTTATGGTTAGTCTGTTTAGTGATTTTCACTTTTTCCTAAAAAACTTATTTAAATGACGCGAGTGAAAAGAATGATAATTCTTGTACCTAAAAATATTTCAATGATAACATAAGTTCTAAGAAAAATAGAATTCTAAAAAAAAATTATAGTGTTACAAAATCTTTTCAGATGCGTGGGAAAAATATTTTAATGACTTAATTACTACGTTCTAAAGAATTAGTGCTTGGTATTTGTTAATGAGATGACCTATTGTAATACGATCCTTATCTGATAATCATTTGACAATTATTGCTAATATTGGTTGAACCGGTTTAGGGAACAAAAGAAATGCTCAGGGCTCTGGACTATATAAGGGAGGATCTTCAAGAACCTGCACACTTATAGTTTAGACTGCATACGGTGACTACAGATTGTGAAGTAATTGTTAAGTACTTCTAAACCATGGCTTCCATAAACAATTTGACTATGTCAGTTGGAGTTCCCCTTCCGAAATCACAAAAGGATAAATGTGGTTTGAAAAAGGCAGCGATCGACAGAATATACAAGAACAAAATACGAAGAGAAAAAAATAATCACAAACACAAGACATCGAAGAGGAATAACGACGAAAAACACGAATTCATTGATGCTGATTCGCCCTTCCACCCAGCATTCCAGAGTTGTCGACCTGTAGACGAGTTCCAATATCTCTACAGAATTGATGAAGGTGCATTTGGAACTATCCATGCAGCCAAGGACAGACGGACGGGGGAAATCGTAGCCCTCAAACAACTTAAAAAAATCAACAAAACGGAAGGATTCTCCATCGCCGCTCGGAGAGAGCTTGGAATACTGCTGAAGATGCAGCATCCCAACATCGTCGCAGGCCGAGGAATAGCGTCAAGTTCCAGAAACGAGCATGTGTTTATAGTGATGGAGCTCGTTGATTACGACTTAAAAACTTTTATGCAGACAATCAAAGGTAACAAGCAAATGTTTTCAGTCGAACACGTGAAATGCCTAATGACGCAACTGCTAAGCGCTGTACAACATCTACACAACCATCACGTCATACATCGCGATCTCAAAAGCAACAATATATTATTATCAAACGAAGGTGTATTAAAATTGGCAGATTTTGGGATGGCCCGAGAATATGAATTCCCTCCTCGGGAATATACGCCCGACGTAGTTACGCGCTGGTACCGTGCGCCTGAATTACTGCTGCTTTCGAAAGAATACTCCGCGCCTGTCGACATGTGGAGTGTTGGATGTATATTCGCTGAATTAATAACCTTGCGGCCACTGTTTCCCGGCAGATGTGAGTTGGATCAGATAACCAAAATATTTATGGATATGGGGACGCCTTCAGACACGATTTGGCCCGGTTACAGCGCATTACCAATGGTAAGAAACATCGTGTTCGACGACTATCCACCGGGCGGGTTGCGTAAAAAGATAAGTCGCAATCTGTTGTCTGAAGAAGGGCTATCTTTACTGCAAGGTTTTTTAACCTATGATCCTGCAAAAAGAACAACAGCAGCCGCTGCTTTAGAGCACCCATACTTCAAGGAGCAGCCGGTAGCGATGGAGCCGGCCATTTTCCTAAAGTCACCCGCTCGCTGACAATCACGCAAGGGAAAGATTTTGGGATAGCCTGAGAATATGCACTCCCTCCTTGACAATATACGCCGGGTGTATCCACACGCTGGTACCGATCATCTGAACTACTGCTACATAGCAAAACATCCTTCACTCCTGCCGATTGTGAAGTGTTGGGTGTATATTCGCTGAACTAATAACCATGCGGCCACTGTTTCCCGACAAATGTGATTAGGAACAGATAGCCAAAACAAGTATGGATTTGGGGACGCTTTCAGACACAATTTTGCAGCGTTACAGCGCATCACCAGTGGTAACAAACATTATATTCGACGACTATCCACCGAGCGGGCTACGTGAAAGACATGTCAAAGAACAGCAGCCCAAAGACGAAGTTTCTTTACTGCAAAGTCTTTTAACTTATGGTCCTGCAAGAAGAACAGACGCTACTTTATTTATAATACGTATACTTTATATACATCAAGGAGCAGCCGGAGGCGATGAAGCCGGCTGTGTTCTTGAGTCCGTTACCCGCCCACTGAGCGGTCACGTATAAGTGAGGTTTCGGCTCTGGTTCAAGTTCCTTTGTCAGTGCGTCGGACAACGCTCATGTAGTTAGGGAAACAAGTATCAATATATTCTTCAAGAAAAATTGCGATTACTCAAATGTAAATAAATGTATTTAATATGAAATGTTAATGTATTGTGTAGCTAAGTTTGTAAATAATAATATAATGTGTGTGTTTGTAGTATATAACTGTTTGTTGTAAATGATTGTAATAACACCTTTGTAAAAGTAAATTTAGTATGAAATAATAAATTGCCACTAATAATTTTAACCATGTTGTATTAGTATTTGTACGTTTCCTAAAAAAATGAATAGTTAAAAAATACTTATCTTGATGTTAATATATAAATTCATTTTGTATGTGGTTTCTTTTCTTCAATGAAAATATTTATGTCTGTACATAATTTATCTCGTGTCATCTATATTAATCAAACAACGTAAATGCTGTGAGTGAAGAGAAACAAGGAAATAATTTGGTTTGTAACAAAATTGAAATCTATATAACTGTATTCTATTTAAGCCATTGTTAAGCCGATAAATTGCCAATGGCATTGGACCATAATTTTTAACTTTAGTGTATTCTAAATGTTTTGTTTGTGATGTGGTAGTACTCCTTCGAATAAATAAAATAAAAGTTGTAATTTCGTTAAAAAATCCAAGAAAAAAAATAGCTGGATACTAATTAAAATTTCTCAATCACCAGTTATTATGCAATTCAATTATAATGTTATTAAAAGCTCTTTATCATCGTTAAAAATATAGTTTTGACATGTCGGAAACCTAATGCTATTAAGTTGTTTCATTCTAGTTGTTAATTACGTACAAGTAATTAATATATTAAGGATATTACTTTGCGGGCTCTTTATGTAAATAATTTGGTTTTTCACTTCGATACACTTTGAATCTGAGCTTGTTTAAACTGAGCCAAGCAGCCAAATTTAGTAACCGACCTTATTTTTTAATGTCTAAAGATGATTATTAACTTATAACTCCGCAAGGTATAACATGAACTCAAGATTTGTACTGGATTCTCTGAATCGAATCATGAACTTAGGTAGAGAGATGTTTGTTTAAAAGAAGGAAAGTTGTCACAAGACATCAGTCAAAAATATGTCCATAGTTTACTGTAGCAAAAGTCACTTTTGTGTCGAGCTTGTCGTACTTTCAACGACATCAGTAGCAGGCATGATGTAGATATTTTTTGCACAAGCCTGAGGAAAGCTAGAACCATGATAAGTGAAGACTTTGTTTATAGCTAATTTTTATATTTTTAGTTTACCTATACATTAACCAAACTATTTCTTTGAATAATTTTATTGCTGTGTGTCGACAGTTTTTTTATATATTTATAATTTTAATTTTGTCTTAGCTGTTACCTAGTTTAAACCCTACCAAAAACGAAACCTATCTATTTATTTTATATTTAATAATGAGAGAATTGAAAGTACAAACAACTTTAAACTTTTCGGATTAAATATTGACAGTCACCTTAACGGAAAATCACACGCCCAGATCATAAGCAGCAAACTGTCAAAATTCACTTACGCTCTTTACCATCTGAAAACATCAACGGACAAAAAAACTGCCCTCACTGCATATTATGCATATGCGCACAAATGGATGCGCTATGGCATTGCACTATGGGGTAATAGTACTGACGCAGACGACATATTTAAACTCCAAAAGAAATGCATTCGCATTCTGGCCAATGTTAGGGGAACACATAGCTGTAGACCACACTTTAAAACACTCCGTGTCCTTACTTTGACTTCCCTGTACATATTGGATTTGAGCCTATTTGTTTACAAAAATATTAATCTTTTTAGTCGTAACCGTGACCACTATTCGCAAGACCGTCAATTAAGAAATAGAAATAACTTATCGCTTCCTACCTCCAACTTATCAATATTTCATGTCAATAAAAATTTACAACAAAATACCAAGTAATAAAAAAAATGAAACAAAATATACTACTTTCAAAAGAAAACTTAATGAATATCTCATCGATAAATGCTATTATAGTTTGCAAGAGTTTTTTGAGAATAAACAACAAAACTAAAAAATAACAAAATGAAATAATAACAATAGAAAGGAAAATAATGGTAATGATAATGAATAAATAAAATTGTGCAAATAAGGAGTTGGTAGATATGTATAATATGTAGAATATAAAGGAAAATCAATTGAAGCAATTGTGGTAATACTTTAATAATATGTTATGTAAAATCTTTGAATAATATAGTTATTTTTATTAATTAATATAAATTGCAGCGCCCTTACAGGGTCATGTTGATACTGCTTAACCAAAATAATATGTATTGTGTATAACACCTTGGTACCCACACATGAAGCAATAAAGACTTTGAATTTGAATTTGAATTATTAAGTTAGTATTCGTATGAATCTGTAAGCGACCCAATGTTACTTATTTTTCTGCTAAATCTGGGTAATGTAGCTGTTGATTCACCATTAAATAAATAAATAAATTAGGTACTTAAACGGAATTAACTAATAAACTAATACTAATTTGCGAATGCAACAATCAGGGAAGTAATTTTAATAAGGTCTATATAATGGAGGATCTCATAAAGAACATACACACAACAATATTATAATGATAACACAAGTTCTAAGAATAATACAATTCTAAGAAAATAAATATCGCTTTTACAGTGCGATAAAGTCTTCGGATGCGTGGGAAAAATATTTTCTTGTGTTTTATGAAATGAAATGTTATTTATTTCTACAAACAGGTCATATTCCTATTGTTATAATTACCACGTTCTAAAGAACGAGTCCTTAGTATTTGTTAATGATCTATTGTTATAATATCCTTATCTGATATTTTGACAAGAATTGGTAATATTGGTCGACACCGTTTTAGGGAACAAAAGAAATGCTCAGAGCTCTGGGCTATATAAGGGAAGATCTTCAAGAACGTGCACACTTACAGCTTAGACTGCATACAGTGACTACACATAGTGAAGTGATTGTTAAGTATTTTTAAAACCATGAGTTCTGTAAATATTTGCAACGCGTCTAATGGAGTTGGAGACAGTGCTGAGTCCCCGTTAGGCACGTCACCTCAAGATGTACCTCGGAACACACATCGGAAGAAAAGTGGCCTGAAAGTCGCCGCTAAAAATAAATTAAAAAACAATTTCATAAGAACAGAGAATAAGGATCATCAGGACAAAAACTGCAACAAGGGTCAAGAAACAAGTGAAACTGTTACACCTCCACCTCCTTTCCGCCAGGAGGTTCAGAGCAGACGATCTCTTGAGGAGTTCCAATATTTGAATAAGATTGCAGAAGGGGCCTACGGAGCTGTGTTCAGAGTTTGGGATAAGAAAAAAAACGAAGTAGTTGCTCTCAAACAAATTCTATCAGACAATCGGAATGAAGGATTTTACATCGCAGCTGTAAGAGAGCTAAAGATATTGCTAAAGATTCAACATCCTAACATTGTCGCAGGGCGGGGAATAGTCATAGGCACCGACATTGAGGAAGTATTCGTAGTCATGGACTACGTCCCCCATGATTTAAGAAGTTACATGGATACCATGCGCAATGACCGACAATTATTTACACCGGGTCACGTGAAATGCCTAATGACACAACTGCTCAGCGCTATACAACATCTGCACAAAAATTGGATCCTTCATCGGGACCTTAAGCTACGTAACATTTTACTGTCGTATAAAGGTGTGCTAAAGCTGGCAGATTTCGGATTGGCCCGAGAATATGAATTGCCACCTCGCCGATACACGCCGGGCATTGTTACTATATGGTACCGCGCGCCTGAATTGCTGCTGCTTTCTGATGAATATTCTACTCCGATTGACATGTGGAGTGTTGGATGTATATTTGCTGAATTGATTACTATGCGGCCACTGTTTCCCGGAACATCTGAATTGGATCAGATAAATAGAATTTTCGAGGGTTTGGGAACACCTACAGACGCAACTTGGCCAGGATTCAGTGAGTTACCTGTAGATAGTATTACTTTTAAAAAGCAATCAACAGGTAAGTTGCGAGAAAAAATAAATAGGAATTTACTTTCTGAAGATGGGATGTCTCTACTACAAGACTTTTTGTTGTATGATCCCGCGAGAAGGATGACAGCAGACGCCGCTTTGGATCATGCATACTTCAAAGAACAGCCGTTGGCGATCGAACCGGCCAGGTTCCCGATGTGGCCTGCCAAGTCGCAGATGCAGCTCAGACCTTGACATAGATGAGGCTCTCGGATGCAGTAGCACTAGCTTTTTCATGAAATAAGTCGGCAAATGAGCTGCGTGCGACGAATCACCTGACCCGACAACACAGGCGTTACAAGCTGTGTTGCCGAACTTCTGGGAGTTAGGAGATAGAAGACTGTGTTTACGATTGAGCTTTTGTTCCGGTGAATAGAAATCATGTTAAAATATATAATTATGATTAATGTTTCTTATGT